AAAATGGGTCGGATAGGACCATTAATTCGAGCACCCCGCATCTTAAGCCTCATTTGAAAGTCTTTATATATGTTAGTAACTGTATTAGACGAGATGATATCGAGTATTTAATGATGGGCCGTGTGCCACTATAGTGTTCTTAGTTATCTTTATCTATTATTGATTGACATTTTTTTTTTTTAATTGATATTCGACAATAATTTTACATATTCAGCCCTAATTTTTACTTAAACGAACGTAAGAGTTGCGGCGGAAAACTTTGATATTTCCATATATCTAATGGATGGCCAAAATTCGTCATAAAAATGTATATAATTGCGTTAATTATTTGGAATAATTTTAAAAAGCAAGGAGCAATACCTATACACTATAAATTGCTTATAAATTACTTCCTTTGCAATTACATTGCTTAGCATATGCTACGCTTTCATATCCGGTCGTTTGTCTTATAAAAAAAAAAAAAAAAAATAAAGATTTTTTATCTCTACACCTGGACGCTTGTAATTCTTTATGAAACTTGCTTAATTTAATTATTTAATGATTATGTGGGCATTATTTTTTTTTTATTGTTGTTTTCATTTCAGAGTTCAATAACCAACATTCCAACCTTATGTTGTCTGTATATGTAATTTTAACCATAACTGAAACTATAATTGTTAAATCGGTTCTTCAATTTTAATCCGTGCATCATGTATATAATGCAAAAAGCTGGAAAGAGAAAGATCAATAGATAGAGAAAGACAGAATGAGTGAGAGAGACAGACTGATAGAGTGGTCAGGGAGGAAGCGGGCGAATGAGAATGAAAATGAGAAAAACAAACGCATTCATTGATTGCATACCAATTATCTAGCACCATAACTAACACTGCCGCCAGCGGCGATTACAGCAATTGTGTACCTGTGTAAAAGTTTACGCTATATACCTAACATAGCACAACTTCATGTTTAGAATTTGAAATTCAGACTTACAAAAAACTGCTTAACATTCACAATTCATTCGTCGATCATTGTATCAAAAAGCAGCAGCCACAACAACAACAACAACAATAGCAACCAAAAAAAAAAAACTGATGCAACCTACGCATCACCATTAACCACAGCAGCGCAACCGCAAATCTTGTGGAATTAACGTATTGCCTGATTGTTTTTTTTATTTATTTTTTTTTTATTTTCAACTTCTTTATACCCATCACCGAACGGTGAAGGATATATTCATTTTGTCAAAACATTTGCAACGCCCAGAACGGAAGCTTCATTGACCCCACAAAGTATGTTTATATTCTTGATCATTATCAAAGCGATTTAAAAATGTCCGTCGTGTTCGTTCTTGTGTTCGTTGTCTGTTGTGAACATTTTCATGACTGCAAAAATTAAATTAAACAAGTTAGCAGTGCAAATCGTCCAAATCGGTCGAAGGACACGTCTATAAGACTCACATGCCTAGGCGATAAACATTATAAAGACTATGAACGTTTTCGCATTCAATGGCATGAAGTACGAAAGTGCAGTTCTTTTCCTTTTTTTAGCCTCTTCCTAGGATAACAGTGTATGGGTATAAAAGATTCGACCATGACCGTATATAATTTTTTTTGGTTTTTTTTGTTTTCAGTTTATTGTGTTTAGTCAACAGTTTTGTTTACTTTATTTATTTCTTTGTTTTTTCTCTTTCTATAAGAAGAGAGAGAGAGAGAAGGCGCTCAGGGATCTTGTTTCTCTTAATGTTATCTTAAGATTTTATAGTTTGCTTACTGCTAAGACTTCATATCATATCTAATTACACACTTTATAAACTCATTTGTGCATATGTGTGTGCATAGAACTGCTACAGTAAAACATGTATAAGTGCCTTTAACATTTTGCTTACATTTATGTGAAGACGAAGTTCTCAAGCTTAATAATAAAGATTCTTAATACTTGGAACTCGCTAAGTAACGACATTGACAAGCCCAAATAGACATCATTTCCAAGTCAGTCTTTCTGCCAATTGGCAAGCAAAGCAAAGTTATTGAGCGGTGCATAAAGCTTTAGAAAGCCCCCGGACAGCATTGTTCGTAGTCGAAAAATAGTTTGTGCCGGCTCATGAAGTGAAAGTGTGTCAGATTAGTAGCTTTTCTAAATTCGCTTTAGCGCAAATAGCATTTTTCCCTTTATTGAAAGTTTTGAACCCTGCTATGACTATTCCACTGTAACGTAGATTATGGTCATATGATAATATACGCATCATCAGCTGCCCGTCGGTGATGTTTGAAGTTTTGCATAATCTTTTTTTTTTGTCGCTTTTATATAATTTCGATGTGAGTGGTGAATTCTCCTCTAAAGTTAATTACTTGCAATCATTTGTAATCGTGTTTGCTGTGTTAAACACTTAACTATAAATTATTTTTAATTAGTTTTTTTTTGTTTTTATTTTCTTTAACATTAATGCGTCGCTCATTAAATATTTCACATTAACAATAAGTAATTTGTTTACCTAAAGCAAGTTTTCAATTTATTTGAGACTAAATATCTTTGTTTTTAGCGGTCGAATTTCGAACCAGGTTAACTACGCTATGAGTTCTCATTCTAATAAACTTTGGAAACTAGTTTTTTTTTTTTTTTTTTTTTTAAGAAATAGTTTTGAAATTTGTTCAGTTTCTTCCTTTCTATCTGGTAGTTTTTTTTTTTTTGTTTTTATTATTTTTTTCTTTATTTACACCTTGCAACATATAAAGGTTAGGTAGTCGAAATAAAGATAAAAAATTAAACGAGTAGATAACAAGTGGGAAAATTACATTCAGCTTGGCACACAAATTTTCGAATGTTTATCGCCTTAACTAAATATCTAAGAAAAATGCAGAGATAATTACAGGCGTGACAGGTAACTGAACGTAACTGATTCTAGATACACGTTCGCTTTTTACAAAGCCTTGTCTAATGTTTCTACAAAATTATAGCTTGATCTGTTGTTGGTATGACTTGTAAGTTGCAGTCTTTTCTTCTAGTGTCGCGAGATCATACCCATAATAAGAGTTAATTTACACATATCGGTTTCGATTTTTTACACTTGGTAGTTCCAATATTATAAACGAATGGGCAGACAAACCGGCATTGCAAAATCGCCTCATCATTCCATCGCCTTCTTGCTGCCGATCATAAGAATATGAAATAGATATGCAATTAGTTTAATAGAAGTACAAATAAGTTTTTCTATCGTTTAACAAAAGATGGCCCCACTGGAACGTTTTGTTGGAATTGCCAGATGTTAAATGTAATATCGTAAGTTTAGTCACTTGATAACAACACAAACTTGATTATTAGAAGTATTAGCGACTTGGTATCAGCATCACGTAATTTTCTTGTGTCGAATAGGAGTCACTTGCAATTTACTTTTGAAATTTATTTTTTCTGCTTAATATGGGAAGCAAGGAGCTGCCCAGTCTTTATCGAAAATGAGTAGTGAATAGAGTTACAATATCCAAAGCTCAATTAACCATGATAAATAGTAGAAGAACCTGTCGCTAATATCGACTACAAAGGTGATTGTTCATGGCGGGCCCATTTGGGGGAGAGCGTCGGACTGCAATCAGCAATAGTTGATTCAATTAGGGCAAAAAATTGATGTGTTAAGGTAAAAGTCATGATACCGTAAGTTTTCAACACAAACGAATTTTAGTCCATACAACAAAACTCGCGTAAGAAAGATTTGCGGTTCCAAACTCAAGTGTCGTGCCACACACCCACTGTTAACGCTTTATTTTGAAAAATATCTGTATGAGCAACCGCTTGTGTTTACTTACTTGAAGCTGTTTATCAACATTCCGACATTTGTTTTTTGACCTATTAGTATGTTTCAACTTTTCATACCAGACGACTATCCAATACACCATATATCAACCAATTAAAAATCAAATATATGCATAAGTAATAACATATATAATAACCCTAATCTCTAAAGATCATCATCATCATCCACACTACAGGCTGCATAATTATTTTCAGCCCTATAGCTTACCGGCAAAGAGACACTATATCAAATTCTAAGGTCTATATGTTAGCACTAGCGTGTAACAAGTTGCCACGATCGATTGTTTTATTTTAATTAAACAAATTTGAATAATTTACAAAGATTGCTAAAGTGTTTTTCGCTCTGTGAATAAGGGGCAAATTCCAGAAAGATATAAAAAAAAGCATTGTACGCTTTTTTATTTGAGCAAAAAATATTACCTTAGCGGTCGGATATGTTATGTAATAAAAAACGATGCTTGAGTGAATACAGCATAACACGTTGGTCTCATGAGAGTATTAAGTTTCTTATAAATGAAAAATAGAGTTAGATGTGATTATCGCAAAATTCACTTTAAATCGAATAAAATTTATTTGGTCATTTTGATTCATCCGTGAATGTCTTAATTCTCATCATTAAAACTATAGTCGACCTTTTCTTTAATACCTTCTCCATGTTGCCTATTAAGTCGTTAAAAAAAAAAAACACTATTAATAGCTATTCTCGGGACTATAAAATTGTTATTGTCATCCATTAAAATGTATAGTTGTTGCTGCTGCGTTCAAGTTTTGCTTTTTCAAATGCTTTTTCATTTATTCATAGTAAAAGCAAAAATTAAACGTTTAACACTATGATTAATTACATTTTCGTATTGTAGCGTGTGTTTATGTGGTGTGGTGTGTTTATGTGATGTTTATGTTCCTTTTTTGGCACACCGCACTCTTAAGAATTTTTCATGTCTTCACGTATGTTTGAAAAGCGTCTCGAGACCGTAAAGAGACATTTGGTCAAGGCTGGACGTGAAGAAAGCCTTATTCATACTTCATATTTTTATATCTTCCTTCTTTTCGTTTTTTTTTTTTTTTTTTTTTTGCTAGTACTTGTTATTTAAGGGCTTTCACTACTTTCCAAAATTGTCCATACTTAAGCGTTCATAAATTATAATAATTTCATTGTTTTTTTTTCATTTTCATTTTTTTTTTTTACTATTTGTGTAGTTTTATAAAATTGTCGTGAAACCAATTCATAAAAAAAGAAAAACCGCTTAAATCATTTCAATCAAGTACAATTATATAAAAACATTTGAAAAATTCGTATTTACAATTTTGCTGTAACCTGTTTGAGATCTACATAGGCGCCGGTAATGACATTTTTGCCCGTCTCTACAACACTTGTAACGAAATGTATACGTTTGTTTTCCTTCCACATGTCAATTTGTAAAGTTTGCCCTGGTATAACGGGAGCAGCGAAACGTACTTTAACACATTTGAAAAGAGATGGATCATTGTTAGCATATTTAGCCAGAACCGCACGCACCGAAAAGCCCATTGAGCATAGGCCATGCAAAATGGGTGTTTTGAAGCCTGCCATCATCGAAAAGTTAGGATCGATATGCAAAGGATTTAAATCACCTGATAAGCGATATAGAGCCGCTTGATCTCTACTTGTGTTGTATCGTATAGTGGCATCAGGCGAACGTTTTGGTGCAGGGACTATGGGTATAACACCGTGAATGGGATCCTTTTTACCACCAAACTTTCCAGCTCCAACTACAAAAATGGAACTTTGATTTTTTACTAATAATCGACCGTTTTCATCAAATGAGTTAGTGTTAGTAACAACAACTGCCCCACTGCTTTTATCCATAATATCAAAAACTTGGCCAGTGCTGGTTAAATTGCCGCTAGTTGGGATGTCATCGCAAATTTCCAAATATTGTTCACCGTGCAGTATATTGGTAAGGTCAGCTTTGCCTTCGGGTAAGCCGCTAGCGACTAAGTTTGTAGTTAGACTTAAAAGCAGGCCGGGCAAAACGAAGAATGACGGAATAGCGTGAAAATCTGGATCATTTTCGTATAAAAATTTCAGGTCATTGGCATTTTTAACTGTTGCCCCAATACCTAAAGCATATAAAATTAAATCTTTAGCACTATATTTAAAGTTATCTTCGAAGCCGTCAATTTTTTGCTGTTTTAGATTTTCCATAACTTCAAGCAAATAGCCAGAGGCCTCGCCAATCGTATTTACGTGTTGGGCGTCTTTCATATTGGTAACCTTAGACCAAACACTCCTTACATATTCTGGTGTTATAATATCTTGTCCGATGGAAGTACGTAAAACGCAACCTTTACTTCGTACGGAATGTATTTTAGCAGCCCAACCGGCGGCACTTTCAATGTAAGAGCCTAGAAAAGATGAAAAAGATATAAATCACTTTAATTGATGTCTTAATACAAAACAGAAACATTACCATTATCTTCGCACGATTCGTGGCACAAGTAAGCCACTACTGGTGCAATCAGTTGAGGCTTTAATTCATCAAAGAGCATATCAGGCAAAATACCTTGAGTTAGACGACTAGCGGCTGTTGGTATAATAACATTGCAGTGTATATTATATTTCTCCCCTTCGATGGCTACCGTATTAGCCAAACCTATCAAACCCATTTTTGCAGCCGAGTAGTTAGCTTGACCGAAATTACCATACATGCCCGAATTAGAAGATGTCATAATAATGCGTCCAAAATTTTGCTTCTTCATGTAAGGCCAAGCGGCTTGAGTAACTTTGAAGCTACCTTTCAAATGGACATCGTGCACCAAATCCCAATCCTGTTCTGCGATTTTTGCAATACTACGATCGCGCAAAATGCCGGCATTGTTAATAACTATGTCTACGCGACCGAAATTATTAATTGCCGTTTCAACAATCTTAGCCCCATCGACCACCGAATTATAATCGGCTACAGCTATTCCGCCTTTTGATTTAATTTCGTTCACAACCAAATTCGCTGCATGTGTGGAGGCACCTTCACCGGTATTTGTGCCACCCAAGTCGTTGACAACAACTTTAGCCCCCCGTTCAGCTAAAAGCAAGGCGTATTCACGTCCAAGACCGGCACCAGCGCCAGTCACTATAGCTACTCGCCCATTATAGCGTATTTCCTCGCTAGACATTTTGCTTCAATAAGAGGAAGTTGCGAAATAAGTTATTTGCAGTTGAGTTATAAAAACTGTTTGCATTGTTTGTCTATTTAACATTAATTATTAATATTTTGCTTATAAAATCGAACAAAGTTCATATATAACAACTCAATGAATATTAAAAGAAGCCAGAAAAATGTAAATTAATTTGCCTAATTTTAAAACTCGTCGGAGAACGACTTTCCAACGGTAATTGCAAAAAAAAAAAATCATAAATAAATCAACTCTTTGATAAAGTTTTTCAATACTCAAAATCAGTTGTAACAATCGAATTAAATGAGTCGCATCATCGCTAAGTGGTTGCATTCGGTTCGATTTCAACTCAGACCATTTTTTATAAACACAGCCTATTAATACTCAATTTTAGGCCTGCTCTTTGAACTTTGGACAAGAAGAAGTTTTTGCAATTCATTTTCCTACAAATTAATTCTATGTACATAGATAATCTGTTAAGATATTTTATGACAAATTTTCTATTGCTCCTTAATACCACACGAGAATCATAATAGGTATGGAAAATAATGTGTATACATATTTGTACATACCTGCAAAATAGAAAATAATTTATATATATATTATTTTAAGTATATATATTCCTGATTTTATCAAATATACTTTTCTTTTTATCGATTAAACGCAAAGTCTCTTATGACTATACGACGACAGCAACAAGTTTGGAGTTATAATGAAAATGCAACTGGACAACTGCACTATAGAAGCAAAGAAAACAAAGTCTCAATTGTTTGCCGACTCTCTCGCGCACCAATGCTTTTATTAGTGATTAAATAAATGACATATTGTTTCGTTTAAATCAACATATGATTTCCAACTTTTCACTTCTCATAAATAGCAATGCCATAATGTTTTTCCTCTCGTTTTTCAGTGCTGCCAGTTTAATATTATTAAATTGTTAAAAT